AATAATTCTTATCTTTCTGATCCAAAATCAGTATTATCTTAACATTCCAGCTGCATTTTCCATGGCGATCCAGCAAATAAAAACCCTAAGGATTTGGTGAGTTTTTAACAATTCAGTGCCAGACTTTCATATTATAAATACTGAGGAATCTCAAACTGATAAAGATTAAGAACCCAGGTCCACCTGGAGAACACAAATAAGGCTATGCTCTTGGTGTTTTGCCAGATTTAAAATTTCACCCACACTGGACTGAATATTATAGTGTGACTAACGAAGAGGAACAAAGTAGCAAAAACACTGAATGCAAATGTGAGAGCTGTGGATTTGAGGAGTAAAAATACATCTAAGAACCACTCTGGGAATAGTAATTATTTTGTGATCTCAAATTACTGCCAATAGTTTAAACATCTCCCTCAATCCCACCATTATGAAAGTTGTTTAGCACAGTCCTATTGATGGATGGATGTGTTTCATACTTCCTTTTACTGTCTGCCTTCTGGTGGAAGGAGTATCCCTTGAGATTTGATAGAGGACCCGTTAACAAAAGTGGAGGCAAAAAACCTGGCTAACTGATAACCAGAAAAATGTATCCCAGTGTAACGGCTGGATAAATTAATATGGTTAATTGTTGACATGCCCATTTCTCAGGTGTAAAAGGCATTTCTTTTTATTTTTTATTTTTTCTCTGCTTTGTGACCCCTGCCTTCAGGACTTTAGAATATTGAGACTATAAATATATAAAATTCAGAAAGTTGGTGATTTTCAATTACACAAACGCTAACTTAAGATCACAATGTTTTGATATTATTTCTACTTCCAAAGACGGAGACAGTGGGGGTCAGACCAGGGAAGGGAGAGAAGATTTCTTTTCCATTTGGGAAGTGACTTTTGTCAATTTCTCTATATATCAGAATCAATTACCATACTTTAGATCACAAATGTGAATTTACTAAAGACCTTAATTGTAATTTGACTTCCCATAATATCATTTATCAATAATCCCATTTTCTAGTGGTCATCTGAATCTTCCCCAGCTTCCCTATTTTTTGGTTGTTGTTGGATCCAAAGAGGTGAGAACAATGAAATATGAGTTTACTGCACAATTTCATATCAATAGAAGTGTACTTGGGAAGGAAAGAGTTTGTTTGCAAAGACACAAGTCTGGAATATTAAATAGACACTGACTTCCTTTGCGGGGAATACAATCCACGTGTACAAATTAGGAAAATTAAAATCTTGACCCTCACTTTTAGGTACTTAAATAGTTATTCAAATATTCTTCTGAATATTTTCATTTAATGCAGGTATTTTTATATGATTTTATAAAGTTTCGATGCTAGTTTTTCCATGTCAATGTTTAGAAAATGCAATTTTACCTGTGACTTGTTATAAAAAGTAGAGGATTCTTTTTTTTGAAGAAGAAATGTGGGTTTTGTTAGGGTGATATTTATTTGCATGGAATCATATATTTTAAATAATTCAACAGATTTTATTTAGCTCTTTAAGGGAAGATGAAGTTAGAGATACGAAAAATCTCCAATTTTAATTTAAGATTATGAGGTATTTTGAGAGTCATACAAATTCAGTCAACAAATACTCCTTGAGCTTTCACTTTCTGCCTTGCTCTCATGGTCTAGGGTTTTTTTGTTTGTTTTTCACTCATTACATCCAGAGAAAATTTGACACTCATTGGACTTAAAGGTTTCTAGACTATCATCAGCCAAACTCCCCCCAAAATTTAAGTGGTCCCTAAAGATGATCTGATTGAGCTGTACAAATGAGGGTGATCCCTAACTGCCAAAGTGGGTGGTGGGTGTGAAAGGCAATTGCTCACATCTGATTCAAAACCAGGAGCTTTAAAGCCCATTTTGATTTAAAGAAGATTAAAGAAGAAAAATAATTTCATTTAAAATTTGATGCCCATATGAAAACAAAAGTTGTTGAATAGAGCATATACTGAACTATGCAAATTTATGAAAAATATGAGCTTCTAGTGAACCTAAATAATCAGGAAAGAAGCTGTAGAAGTTAAATGCTTTCTAACTGAGACAGCTAGAAAATCCTAAACTGGCTAACAAAATGAGAGAAGAAAAGGTCATTGTTAAGTAAGATGAAACAAGGCCTGGGTAATTAACCACATTTAGTGTATTTCCGTCAAACATCAGGCCTGGAAAAGAGTAAAATTTGAGAAACTGAGGCAGTGAGTTAGAATGTTCAAACCCAGAATTTTAACCTCAGTATTCACACAGAATCTCAGACTAATGATTTATGTCAAAGTTATCTAAATGTCACCATTATCTATTGCTGCACGGCAATGGAAGATTTCTCTTGAGGTAGGGCAAAACCTACCTCCAGAAACAACTGGTTTAAATTTTCCTGATTTTTAATCCAAATTGTTTTGGGAAGATGTGAAGGCTATGGAAATATTTCTCACTGAACACAAAAGAGGGCTCGGCATCTCTATGCGTATAACCTTCATCAGTGTTAATCAGGCCCCCAGGGTAAAATCTCTGCTTCAGTAGGAATGTCTATCTCCCTCCTGTATTAAATATGCCTCTAACATATTTCCCTGTGTATCTGAATCACTTATCAGGAATACCTTACGGAATAAATAAATTTAGAAAGAAGAAACACTCGTTCTTCAAATGTGAGGAGTTGAATAATCCCAGGCGGAGGGGATCAATATTAGTCTCATAGAGCTACATGTTAGCTCCTTCAGGGTGAACTTTCTGTCACCTACTTTATTTATATGCCCCCTCCCACACCCGTTGCCGAACACAACAGAGTGTTTTAAAACCTGCTTTTATCTCCCACCTGCCCCATGTAATTATATTACTCAAGAAATGCCGGCATTGAATTTCTGTCCTCTGCTTTTGAATCAGATGAAACACCTGTGCAGCCACTAAAAAAGCAAATGGACTTAGTTTGGTGCCATTCAGGTTTGGGCCTGTTCAACTTTAACACCAAACGGCAATATACCCCCACAATTTGGGGAGCTGAAGACCTTGCCAATCACATCTGGAAAAGCCCTTTGTTTTATTACGGAGGTTGCTATGGAGATGACCATGTGTAGGAGGCAGGGAGGTAGTGGGGGAAGACAGTGGCAATATTTTGTAATGGTCAAGCCTTAATCTTTGTAAGACGACTTAAAATCAAGTTTTGAACAACAATGTTGCATATATACACATATTACTGCTTTGAAAGCAAGATAACCAGAGAGGGGATAAACAGAAAATCCAAATTAAAGTCTAGTATCTTAAACTATTGGCCATGAAATCGGCTAACTTAACAAATGTCTTGGGGATCATGCCATATTCATATCTGAATTCCTAAGATCTGGTACATGCCTAACATACACAGTTAACTCAAAAAATATTTGCTGAACTGAATTATTTTGGAGAGGAAATTTATTTCGGTAGTAAAGCTCCTAATTCTATTTTCCAACAGCTCATTTATGAAAATTATTAGAACAGGAAGGCCTCAACTCTAGAGATATACTGTATCCTGTCCTAGGGCTCAGAAATATTTATTGAATGAATGAATGGATGAATTGAGTGAATAAAAACTTGGTGCCCAAATTCTGGTATAGACTGGATATATCTGCCCTCCAGTGTTATTAAAACCTCATGTAGTACATTAAGATTATTATCTAATAATATGAAAAAATCTGACCACACCAGACCAGAGTTACTTTCCTTCTTCACAACTGAGCTCCTAAAGGAACAGGTCACACTCCAAAATGGAAACACCCTACCTATTATTATGTCTCTGTGTAATGCTAAAAACAGAAACCCACAGAACTTCCTGATTCAAAGCCACTTGCAAGACACCAGTCAGGCCTTCAACAAAATATGAAAAAAAATGTAAATCATCTTGGGGTAAGAAATGGAAAGTTTTTACTTTTGTTATTTTTTTCCACAAACCTTGAATTTCTCTAGAATTAGCAAAAGAAAATGTTTAATGGCTCACCTTTTTTTTTAAAGAAAAGAAAAAAATAAAGCAACCCAAAAAATCAACTAGAATATTCTGTTTCTCTTAGCCTTTGCAGAAATAAGATCCTAACCCAACTCCAGCTTTTAATTCTATTAAATATACACAGAAATTCGATGATATCTGTTCTCTATTATATATATATAAATGTTTAACTTATAGCAAGTCTCAAAACAGACGACTTGGAAAAATTGATAGGAAATAATCAGGGACCGCAGTTGCCTGCTGGACATTATATAGCTCAATATAAAGAAAGACCATAAAATAATCAAAATGTATCTGGGTGCGAATGGGGAACACACTGAAGCATCGAGTTGCGAAAGTCCTCTTAACTTCAGCACAGTAGGTACATTTTGAAGCATCTCAGCCTTTGACATGGCATGGTTCAGTACTAATTTTGTGTTTACTATGCTATATTACTGCACAATTCTCTAAACGCACAATGAACAAAATTAGTATAAATATAATACCATGTTAACTGCTGTTGAAATCCCATGGAAAATGTGTGGGGTTTTTTATTGTTGTTTGGTTTGGGTTTCTGGTTTTATTTTGTTTGCCACACAGGCTCAGAACAATTCATGAGGTTTAAATGATCTTTATAGCTCCACTTTGGGTTCATGGAGTTTTGATGTTATTCCAATATAGACATCTTCATGCCCCCACCCCCTGTCAATTTCATAGCTGCCAGGCACTGCTGTACTTTTCCTGTTCCCACAGTTAATCTGGGTGTCCGATTGCTCAAAGTTGGGTGGTACACCAGGATTTTTCTTTGGATATCAGGAACTGATGTTAAATTTCCCTGGAATCTTATCCGCTCCTTCCATGGGATTTGATGCTTTTGATTATATATTAATATTTATATATGTATGCTTATACATATATAGATATAGTAAATACACACATTAACACACTATAATATATATAGAACACATGAATAGTCACATATATGTATGTATTGTTTTTTGCAAATGTAAAAAAAAAGCAAGCAAAACAAGACTGACCTAACCTACCTGTACTCGGCTCACATTCAACGAAGTCTTCGTCATCGCTTGAACATTCAGCAGATGAAACAAGGTCATCTGATGTTGGCTGTGTGTGTCAAAGGAAAAATAATGGGGTAGGGGGAAGGGAAGGAGAGAGAGAGAGAGATAAGGAAACCAATGAACAAAAGCATCAAAGACTTATCACTATGTCCTGCCTCCCATCATTATTATGTTTCTCTTCTCTAAAGAGGGCATGCTGGAGGATAGAGCATTTTAAATTCTTGTGTAGCTGTGAATGGCTATGGGTTCAGACAACCTGTATGGATTTTATGAGAAGCTGAATGACTCCAAGCGGTTCCAGGAGGCTCAAGACTATCCCATCCCTGTAAGTCACATCATACAGCCTGACTCTATTCTGATTTTAATTTCAATTTTGAGAATCTGAAGGGCAGGAGAAGGGATATACAAATGGTGGGCCATATAAGAGTGCAAGCCAGCATGGAAAGGCACTGCAAACTTTGAGAGGGTTTCGGTGCATATGGTGTGTGGTCTCAAGTGCATGCTTTGGTGGTTGTGAATCTATAGGCAGGCATAATTAATGAATGCTGTGGAATGCAGTCTGTTCAGGAACAGCATAATGGCTTTTCTCGCTAGCAGTGATCTCTTCATGTAATTGCTGCAATTAGCTGAATTAGTAATGTAGGCCAGCAGAGAAATACCACATGACAGCCTCTGGACACAGAAAGACTGTTTCTGACAATAGCAGAAAAAAATCTGGTTGCCACAGTAGTAATTCAACTTGTGACAATTTTTTTTTTTTTCTATTGGATCCTGCAGAAACTCCCCAATGCCAGGGAATCTGCTGCAAGAAATACAGGAAACTGGGTATGGACAATAAGAAGGGTCTTTGCTACACAGAAGATGAGAAGACTACTTTCTGTACCTGATATATACTGCATGCACAATAAATACTATTGAATAATAATCTATAGATCTTACATAAAAAAAATTTTTGTCCTACTATGTGCATAAGAGTACTCAATATACAGTAGTTGTTCAATAAATGTTCATTTCTTTTCCCTTCTTGATATTAATAATATTAACTGACTTGCTTGGTTTTATTATTCCCAATGCATTGAAGTCTGAATCCATATTCAAGAGGAAAGGCAGTTAGAAGCCAGATGCTGAGCTAGACATGTGTATATATATTTATTAGTTATAGCTGTTATTAATTGATTAGGTACAATTCTCACAACAATTCTTTGGGATGGATATAATTATTACATTTTTAAGGAGAACTTAAGTTCAAAGAGGACACAGGGCTAGTAAGAAACAGGGAGGATCTGAACAGATACATCTTAGTCAAAGTCCGTATTTGTGATTCACCTAGGCTCCTTTTACATCCCTTCTTCTATGATGTTAGTTTTGGACTGAACTATGTCCTCCAAAATTCATATGCTGCAGTTCAACCCCCCAGTACCTCCGAATATGACTAGTATTTGGAGATAGGGTCTGTGTTAAAATGATATCATTAGGGTAAGCCAAATCCAATATACCTGAGGTCCTTAATAAAAAGATGAAATTAGGACACAGACATGCACAGAGGGACGACTATGAGAAGGCACAGGGAGAAGAAAGCCATCCATAAACCACAGAAAGAGTTTTCAGAAAAAAACCAACCCTGCTGACACCTCGACCTTGGACTTCTAGCTTCCACAACTGTGAGAAAATAAATTTCTGCTGTTTAAGCCACTCAGTCTGTGGTACTTTGTTATGGAGGCCCGAGCAAACCAATGCACGTGACAACCCACATGCTTAGCATTTCCAGACAACATCCTTTTTGAAATATACACACGAAGCATAGAATTACTGGACACGACAAAGGACAGCAGAAAAGTCACACTAGGTAATTGAGTTCACTTAACTAACAGTGGTAGAGAGGTGCCTTAAACCATGCTATGGATATTTATTCTACATTTGACAGGGAGATACTTCAACCCTGCTCCTCCTTAAAGTTAATAGAAAAAGAATTTTCAAACATACTTTTTTTTCAATTAGACACTACTGAAGTGTGCATTTCATTTTCAGCAACCAAAGCTGAAGCTATATCCCAGAGCTGACATGATTTAGACCTGGTGAGCAAACCTCCTTGGAGTTTCCTGTTGTGTCTGCGCCCTCTGCAGGCCCACTTTCAGTTACTTAGGGAAGGGAGGTGGTAGAGGAATACATGTTAACTGTGCAGAAATGCAGAAGGCAATCATAAGAGGCAAACGGCCTTTTCGGAAGGGTCACAATCCTTGTTTGATAGTTCGAAAGCATGAGTTATCCATGGACGTAAGACCTCCCTCAAGGCAGCAAAAATAGTTTTAGGTACGTGGGGGGATGCATCCTAGATATGAAAATGTTTTTTTTTTTTTTCTAATTTTATTTATTTATTTGTCATAGAGAGAGAGACAGCAAGAGAGGGAACACAAGCAGGGGGAGTGGGAGAGGGGGAAGCAGGCTTCCCACTGAGCGGGGAGCCCGATGCGGGACTCGATCCCAGGACCCTGGGATCATGACCCGAGCTGAAGGCAGACGCTTAACGACTGAGCCACCCAGGCGCCCGAAAATGTTTTTTGACCTGCCAAAAGCCTACAGTACTTAAACAAATATACAGTATATCTGTGGTATTAAAATTTTATGGGAGAAGGGCAATTAGGCGAAAAATTATCTTAAAAAACTCCTTAGAGGGTGGTAATAAAAAAGTGGTCGAGAATACATTTCTAAAGGTAATCAATTGGAAATTGGTGACTTCATTATAAGGACCTTGCAGAATGGCCTGGATGTGGCATAACTACCTCGGGTTCCTAGTTTTTGAGTGAAAACCAATGAGTTACATGAACATCTAGTGAACTCATCTCCAGAACTGATAGCCAAGCAAGAATTCTAAGAAAGTTATATTAATTTTGATTGGCCAAAAATATGATGTCGACTTCTTTTTCAAGAAAAGTACTAGACTCTGAGGTTGAAGGATATTTACTATTTTCCTCTCAGCATCCCCCTGCCTCCTCTAATATTACACAAATTCTCCCCGTAGCTACGTGGTTTGGGTGACTTTGTCCCCAGCACCACTCTCCTTCCCCAACACCACCTTCACTTCTGTCCCCAAAATGGGCCCCAACCGGCACTGCAGACCCCACACATATGCTCTTCCACATTTCCACGCCTTTTCTCTCCAGTTGACTGACCCTGTGCCCTACTTCTCAGAGATTTGATTTCTGCTGATCTTCTGTATGCATATGGATGAATAAAGTGTTCCTCCCAGGCAACAGCAACACATTTTGCCAGTAGCTCCCATTAATGGTGGTTAGACTCCAAGGAGGGTCCGTGGCAGGTGGTCTAGCAGAGCATGGAATGAGCAGGACTGACTCTCTACAGAGCATAGCTGTGACTCCCAGCTCCTACACTTAACAGTCAATGACCGAGGGGGTTGGGGGGGTGGGGGGTGGTGGTGAGTTACTTCCCCTCTTCAAGCCTCAATTTTTCCATCTGTAAATTGGGATAAACACAGTGTCTTGTCATCAATTTAAGTGTAATGTTAAAAGTGAAGCTCTGGGGGTGCCTGGGTGGCTCAGTCGGTTGAGTGTCTGACTCTTGGTTTTGGCTCAGGTCATGATCTCGGGGTTGTGAGATTGAGCCCCATGTCAGGCTCCGTGCTTGGGATTCTCTGTCTCTCCCCGCTCCCACCCCGTGTGCTCGCTCTCTTGCTCTCAAATAAGTTAATAAATCTTTTAAAAAAAGAAAAACTAAAGCTCTGTTCCTGGCATATGGTACATGCTCAATAAATATTAGCTAAAACGAAGTCAATCAGTCAATCAATCAGTAACTGTACTTCCAAGCCTAGTTGCCACTCCTAGTTTAAATAAAGTTGCTATCCACCTATGTATTCTTTAATAATTCATCCCCATCAGAACTGTTCTTCATTGCTGATAATTCATTACCTCCATTTTCATTCATTACCTCTGGTTGCATCTGCCATCAAGAGTGCTAAAGAAAAATATACTCATAGAGATGCCAAGAGAGCTCAAAAATCACTGGAAGATAATGTTTCCCATGGCTCTGGGTCCAGACAATCTGAATGGGTTTTATGTGAATCCAGCCCTTTCCTTTCTGTCTCTCAAACCTCATCATCACCAATTACAGCCACTGCCAATGAAATTCCCAAAGCCATTACAAACATCTCCATCCCCTCATTGCCCAACACAGTCACCAATGTTTGCCTGGAGAACCTGGCATCCAACACTACCATGACTGCCACAGAACACTGTAGTTTCAGAAACACTTTCTGTGCTGGGGGCAGCAAGCTTTGATTTGCAAAGGACTCAGGATTTAGAACTCTATATTTAGGGATTAAAAAATTCTTTTTTACTACTTCTGTCCCTGCCATATAAAAAAACCTCAAAATTACAAACCAAAAGCTTTTGGATGATATGCACTTAGAATCACATCCTAAAGTAATGACAACTTCATTCAAAATTACTCTCAGAAAACCCAAGGCTTTCTTTTAGTAGCTCTTTTCCTTGTCTGTGTCCTTCCCCAAATATAAGTAAATTCACGTTTTAACTCAGAACCTTGGGGAAAAAAGGCACACTTTTTTGACTATTGGTTCCCATGGCTGGTGAGTTATGCTTCACTATTGCAGATACACACAGACTCAGGATATAATTGTTATGAATAGAATTGTTATGAACTATGGACTTTGGTCTTTAAATAAAGTGCAGTAGCCCTAGGCTGTGTATGTGTGTATTTTCCTACAATCATACCCATTTTTCATAATTACTCATAATTCCTTAGAAAAAAGAGCAGTTAGCACTGTTGAGAGGAAAAAGATATTTTAACTTTCTAGAATAATGCCTACCAATAACATTTACCACTTATTGAATACTTGCTGTATTCAGACTTCATGCTATGCAGTTGACACATATTAACATCTTAGTACTCATAAGAACCAAAGGTGTGGACATTTGTAGTGACATCTGCTACTTTTAACTGCCCACCATCCATGCTCCTTCAGGGAATAGCATTGCTTTAGGAAGTTCTATTCTTATAGTTATGCTGGGAATGCTT